AAAGTATAAATAAAAATCTATGAAACGCTCGAGATAATTTTTTATGTCAATGTGGAAAGATATTTGTTTTGCACTTGTATTAGTATCAACAATGGCATTTACAGTAGTATTAACGAAATAGAATTCCTAAAATCTTACATCATTGGACACGTTTCCACGTTTCTAAAAGACATCACCTTTTTCTCGATTTCCGGGGATTTCGGTAATGTCTGCGGAATCGGAAACGATCGTTAGAGGATTGGTGCAATGACGCTCGTTGCACGACGGCCTTTTGTTCTTTCTATCTGTCGCGCCGATTCTTTTCAAGTAGAAATGGAGGCGGGCAAAAGGGAAACCTTGAAAAATTATTAATTGCCAGATATGTCACTCACCTACGTTCGATCACGGCGGTTTTTTCAATGCGAAAGCATGTCACGAGGGCTCGTTTACGTCCGTCGCGATCGGAGCAGCGAGCGGAATCGCGAATACTTGCCGTCTCGCGGAAGTAAACAAGTATATACTCGTGTCAGTTTTTAAATATTTATGGAACATGGAACATAGTTTGTGGAACGATTTGTATCTCACAACCTACGTGTGCGTGCGCGCTATATGCGTGAATAGCTTCGTGTTTATCTACTGGGACCCGTACGATGAATAGCAGAAAATTATGCAGGTTCGGATTTCTATAAACATGATCTATAATTTTATAATCCGACGGCAGCAATGCGGGATGAAACCGTCTGATATGTGATACTAGAAAAAATTGCAATAGTAAAGCTCTTCTGAATTTTATAGAAAATTTCTCTAAGGATATGCGTTGAAGTAACAAATGAATGATAATGATCGTCATTTTTAGCATAATACTATAAAGAAAAGAAGTTCTCTGTTGTGATTCTAAAAGCGTTGTCAGTAGCTGTAGGCACGGATATATCTTTTACGACGTGTACTCAAACTGGAGAAAAATAAAATCCGGATACTTTTTAAATAAACCTTGTGTAAGCTAAAGATTTTATGCTGTTCTTTATTTTTACTAAAAAATTAAGATTGCTTGAAAATTTAGGATAAACTTCTGAGAACCAACTCGAATCACGTCTTATTTCTTATTATTAACGTATTCTTGGGTGAAAATATTTTGAATGATCCCAGCTCCACAATCGTGTCAATATAAAGAGAAATATAATAAAAATATTTTATAATATCACATTAATTAATGCATAAATTTTATTTGCAAATCTGTGTATATTTAGCTATGTAAATATGAAAAAAAAAAACAAGAAAATATCTTTTTCATCAATAAAAATCTATTTAAAGATGTTTATTTTTAAGTTATTCACAACATTTTCACCGAAGAATACATAAATAGAATATGAATGATTTTTGAAAGTTTATCTAGTAATTGTTTTTAAAACGTATTTATATATATTACAATTTTCGATAATAAATCTTTCTGACGTTTCTTATTTAAAATATTTTTTGATGTAACATACCATTCCCATATTGAAAACCTGATTTCTATAAATGGAATAAATATTTTGATTTATTATAGAGACGTAATATTTTGATTATAGAGCGAAAAAGCATTCTAGTGGTTCATTCATTCAAATAATATAGCCCAATGGAAGATACGAGTTATCTTTGTTATCTTTTCTTCTTATACGACATTTGTGGAAATCTCTTCACATTAGAGCACTTTACCTTTACGCTACATAAATGTATTTGGCGCTTATGTATACATACTAATTGCGTTTCTGATTAAAGTGGAAACTTTGCGGTGAGATTTTCTCAATTTCCCCCTTTTCTTCGACGAGAAGCCACCCCGAAGCAAAATGGCATGCCGGGTCGACGCGTTTCAAAATTGCCCCGGCGTTCTTCGTATCTCTCTCTCCGCCGCGCCGGGAGAGCTCTTTTTGCTCTTGCGCTATTTGTTATTATTGCTCTCGTTGAAGCGGGTTTGCGCCGCGACACGCATACACGTGCATATACACGCGCATGCGAGGCGTGCAAGGCGATTAACTTAATAGCGGCCGCGATAGCACGAGTTCGCTATTTAAAGCGGCCCCCGGAACACGATCGCATAAATCGCAAGTTTTCAGCCGATAAAATGCACGCGCCGCCCTGCACGATCCCCTATCCTCTCCCTTCCCACCCCACCCCCCAATCCCATAAATTAAACGGAGCTAATGCGCCACGACCGATACGAAATTGGACGGCTTTAATGCAGATCTACGGGCTCTTGCATGATTCCAAGATTTAACGCCGATCGTTTCACGATGTTCATTTCAGCGGATCCTCTAAGTCGTTAACGATTAACTCCTCTTCGCGCTCCGATTCTCCCTGAAGAAAACGTGCAACGCGTAAAAAGTGTTTCTTCTCGCAAATTTTTTTTTTTTTTTAACGCTGTGACGAAACCGCGCATGTAGGATTTTAACAATTCGCAACGCAAACATTTACTCTCGCGATTTAACGTCTTCGAGACTAGGATGCGTGCCACTCCAAAAATACGCCTGTGATTTATTTACCGTTCTCGAGGAAGGTTAACGAACGAATATCTTAATACCTCACACTCACACTTCTCCTTTCTCGCCCCGAGACGCCGCGCCGCGTGCGTGCGAGTCACGATCGAAGATTCAGTACGATTATCCGGATAGCAAGCAGCGGAAAGGAGGTTAAAGCGTCGCTGAGGAGCATTTCCAAGGTGCAGAACGCGTACGGTCACGTTTTATGGGCTCTTGCTCTCAAAGGATTCGCGATATCGTCCGACCGGGACTGTCGATTTCCATATCAAACGTCCTGAAACGCCGGCGATAATAAAATCGCGCGGAAATAAAACACGGCACTCGAAATTCCGCCCGGTGACGGGGAGATCGTCGAAGCTGCGCGATTAGAACTTATATGGATGATAAATTCTCGGGGAAACTTTGCACGGCGGGCGAACGATATTTATTACCGTCTTTCAAGATGTTCTCCAGTACGTTGAGCGTTAGCAGTTGAACGATAATAATTGCATGATTCATTTCCTCAAGTTTATCCTGGAGGAAACTAGATTATCCTAATTGAACGCCGGAAGACAAATCTTTCCACGCGGTCCCGCGCAATCGGTTTACATCCGCGCAATATTCCTCATTATATTTCGCCCGCGGTTCTCGCGGGCAGAATCGAGGCGCGTTTCCGCTCGAGAATTTTTATTCCGGACATGTCACGCGTTGCAAATTGCCGGAATAGTCGGGAGGGATTAATCCGCGTCGTTTTACAGCGCCGCATTGTAATCGCGTGTCGTTTCTCCTAATTAAACCGGAGACGCCGACCGGGGCACCGCGAGATCCGTCGATCGTTAAGCGAGATCGCCACGTTCTTTCATTCGTTCCGGATCTCCCCGTTTCTCTCTCTCGTTCGAATCCGACTGCTATCTCTCGAAACGCCGTGTATCTTTACGAGGGTAGTATCGCGGGCGTAAAAGCGGAACGCCCCGAAACGAGACGAGAGATCCCGGGCAGCTGCGCGTCGAGAAAACTCAACGGGATGCTCGCCTGGCGAGCGGGCGAGATCCACGGGCTTCGATAATATGAAAATAGCGTGAATTTTTACGAGCGCGACGAAATACGAAACTGCACCATCGCTTCCCGTCGTCTTTCTCTTTCTCGGACGTGTCGGACGGCGAAGCCGGAATGTCGATAGCTGGGGAAATACGAGGTGTCACTCGGAAATTTCGATTGCCAGCGCGATACGCGAAACGTGGGGGGAGACGCGGGAGCTCTCGGACGAAACGCACGAGCGACACGGGAGTTCAAGAAGTGTCAAGAAAGAAGCAAATCTGTTTCCCGTTTATCGCCGCTTTGACGCTGCGCGATATGACAGGCATGATCGCCGAGTCGATAGAATTATTTACCTAGCGACAATTTTCGCAGAATAAATATGGCGAGTAAAATCTATATCTATCGGATATTTAACGCACGATCAAACACGTGTGTGCATTGGCGTACAAGAATAAAATAATGCCGGCAATAACGTTGAGCGGCAGTTAGACATCGTTGACAATTCTGTCGATGATCGATCTTGTCGACGCGACGAAAGTCGCGTTGGCATATAATTACAACGATAAAGAGAGCGCTCCGAAAGCGCTGGAAAATAATTGCAGCCGCTTTCGCCTTGAAACGCGTGTCCAGACGATCGTGTGGCGTTCGCACCCCGGCTATATTTAACGCGTCCCATTCCGCATACGAGCGGATACCTATTTTATCGTTTATCTGCGGGAATCGGGACGCGAATACGAGTACGACGATCGCTAGAAACGGCGAGACGAGAGTGCTCGAGGCTCGAGGCGCAAGAGCTGCTCGCGGACGCGCGCGTGTGATCGGGAGAACGCGTGCACCGCACGCACGCCCGTGTGTGCCGCACGCAATGCGGGAAGGTAAAAGGCGTAGGTGGATGGATCGATAGAGCAGGTGGCAGCACGTCGGTGCTCTCCCTGGTTCGCTTCCGGCGCGGCGGAGTGTCATTGGACTCTCCGCCGATCGAACGATTGGCCTCGGCACGAGATTACGAGAAATAATATCAAGGCTAATTCACCCGAAGGAAGTGGGTGCGAGGAGTAAACGCAATTATCAACGATCGCGCCTCATTAAGACGCGCGGCGCGGCGTCCCAGATGGTTTTCATGACTCTCGGCCTCCTCCGACGAAAGTTCGCGAAAAGTCAAATAGCGAAAAAGCGATCTCGACAAGTTTAAATTGATTGAACATTGTCGAAAGATACTTTGAGGTTTTCCGCGAAAATTATCCGGGAAAAGTTTCGATCGGAGATATACTGGGAGGTATCGCGAGAAATAAATATCGATGAGAAGCTTTCAAAGCTCCTCTTATCTCGAAAGCGCTTATATTTTAATGTGAAATGTTAATTTTGTACAATAACGTAACTTCGCAGTCACGGATTTGCTTAAATTTTAATACAGTATATTAAAAATGTTCAAGGAGATCGTGGACACGAGCACGCGATGAGACCGGAGCGCGTAAAGAATTTACTTACTTTGCGAATGTCTTCTAAATTGTGAATTTCCGGCGACAGGCCGCCGTGTACGCAAAGGAACTGTTGGTTCATGAGGGCGGCGAGCGGCAAACAGTCGAAGGCATCCATGCACGCGTCGTACACCCTCTCGGAGTATTTTATTTTACCTGAAAGCAGAAAGAGGAAAAAGATCCAAGGTTAAAATAACGGATTAGCACTTCATTCTGCGTTACGAATGGATTTTGGTTCCTATCAGTGTTACGACGACCGTATATACGATTGTGTCGAAGAGGCTGCTTATTTCGGCCACCTTTATGCGGGCGCGCTTTCACGAGACGGGAACACGGAGATCGGGAGCCGACACGTCTAATCCGCCGTTGGACGAAAAGACCGGAGATGGAGAGGGGAATAAAGGCGACGCGAGAGAGTCGTGAGGAAAGATCCTGAGACAAGCGAGATGAAACACGCATAGTCGGCCATGGACCGTTCCGTGAACGAGCCGTAAAAAGGCGGAGAGCTCTATTTTACGTCGCGCTGCCGCAGTCCTCGCAGAATAATGGATACTCTCCAGGAGTTACGAAGGACTCGCGCCGCCTGGTCGTCCACGCCTGTTCTGTGTTCCTCGAAATTTCGCAGCGCATCTCTCTCCTCGCGCGGCTCTCCTCTCACCGTGTCCCACCGAGTGCAGCCGACAGCCTGCTGCCCGGCTCGCGCGAGCGATAAACCGCTCTGCCCGCAAATAAGCCGGAGCGGTTGGGTAATTGTTTGTCTCATTTCTATGGGTAAAACGGACCGATCCTACGGTACGGGTAAACCCCGTGTTTTCTCTTTCTTCCTCTTTTTTCTTTCGATTCCAAGTTCTGATTACTTTTATAACTAACTCGTATGACGCTGCTTCACATGAAAATTGTAAAACTTTAACTCTCAGAAGGATTTCGTCAGAAGATCCTCTCGAGCCGTCGCTCTCTGTTTCTGACACGTTTCTTGTTAAGCGTAACCTCGGAAATTGACGTGAAACAACTTGTATTTACTACGTAGACGAAAGGATCGTCGTATCGCCGTGTTCGAGGTGACGCACAAAAAGGATTTCCTACCAATAAAGCGGAGTAATCTCAGCAGGATAGAGATTTGTCGGCGCTGGAAGCTAAACGGATCGTCGCCCGAGGTTGCCGCTCGAGAACCTTCACGGAGATCTCGCAAATGAATGACCCGGCTGGCGGACGTGGGTGCCTCTTTGGGGTTGCGGATTGAAGTATTGCGAGGCAGATCGTCCGTAATATCGCGCCAAGGACGCGCTCGGGGGCGAAGCTCTCATGTCTCGAGATTATTAAACGAGAGAGAGATAAAGAAAGACGTACCATTGAGATGTCTAGAAAAAAACTCGCCGAGTACAGTATCATAATTAAGTCGACAAGACAGATAATAAGAGAAACAAAATTATTTACAAATAATATAAAAATTCGATTACTTGAGGACGATTAAAAGGAGTCCTAAATAAATAATTTAACTAGAGATTGTCGAACAGAACTCTCGCTGCCTACCTATAACTAGAAGATATATAAATAGAAAATATATATTGTAACCCATTCGTATGCAACGACAACTGATTTCCGCAGGGAGCATTTTGTTTTATACCCGTGACCATTAACGCGGAACACACCCCGCGCGCCGCGACAAAAATGACGATTTTGGCGAAATCGCCGGCGAATTAAATGCGCATCCGCTCTCGTCGTCCACCGCGTTCGTGGACAAACGATCGTTTTTGGCAACGAGGTCCATTTCGAAACGACACCGCGCCGCGACGATCTTGGCGCGCGGCCACCGCGTCCCGGCTTTCTTGCATGCGAAAAGCGCGCGAGCGACAAGATCGCTCGGAATAATGCGTTTCTCGAGCTCGAGCTCCGGCATGCGACCTTCAGGAAGCACGATCGTTAGTTTCCAGCGTTGCGTATTGCGAAAGGGAGTCAGAGGAAGCGCGGATGCAATAGACAATCGCATAATAACGCGCTCCAAAACAAAGAGGCACGAAATAATTATAAATATTTTATTATTAGAAATATAATTCTAAATAATTTTGCAAAGGCAGAAGCTTTTTGAAATTCGCAGCTTTATTTATTCTAAGATTTCCATACGAAATCGGGGAGCCGCATCACCCGTATATTACGCTAGACATGGTGTGGTAAAAATGATGTATTTGAGAGATATACGAGATATATACGGCGGCAAGGAGCAACCGCGCATTTATCTTGATAGAACTGGTATCGAACTTCTCTATACGTCACGGTTAAGCGCGCTACATTTTTCTCGCGTCATTGTTACCCGAATTGGCAGAAAAATGTGTGCGCGGCGGCGAACGTTGGAAAAACGTCGGGGGGGAAAAATGCGGGGTAGGGTCGCACGAGCGCGATATATTATCGCGACCTGCTGCATTTTTACAATATTATATACCCGCGTTTTAGATAAAGGTGCGATAGGGACGGAGCTTCCCCGCGTTATTGTAATCCACAATGCGCTACGATCGCTACGATTACCTTGGTTACGAAAAAAATAAATGTGCACGATACTCCGAGAGTTATCGGGTCTCGGAGGTTAAATTTCTGTGTGCTGCTTTCGTTTTAAAGAGAAAGGGGGAAAAAAAGGAGAATCGCTATGTACTCCCGTTTTTGCGCGAGCGTGCTATCGCGACTTCGCATCGCGAGGAAAAGCTCGGAGCTGCTGGAGATAATCGCAATTTTCTCGATCGGTCGGCACGTGAATGCCGGTATAATAGCGGCGGGTAACTAGGCCGGCGTAAATAGGCGGCTGCGAAAAAGAAGAAAATGCAGAGAAACGCGCGGATATACGCGAGCGGGAGGGCACACCCTCCCGCGCCGACCCCCGCGGGGCTCACGAACGCCCCGCCAATAAATGCACGGCGAAAGCTCCGTTAAAACGATGATTAAAGCGCCGGCTGGCATCGTGTGCACGCGCAGCACAGGGATTTTCGCGGTTATCGCGGTTATTAAACGCGCGTGGAATCGGGGTCGCGGTGCGTGCGCGAGCGCGAGCGATTTTTTTTGTCGGGCGAAACCTCCCCCCTCCTCCGCGCGGGTGGCTCGCATTTCGCTTAATATCGCGAGCGGAAATGATGTTACCGCCGGTTCTGGATGTAGGAGGAAATTAGAACTGTTCTTCAAAACGAGGCCCCGGGCATGAGAGTGCACGAAAATGCATCGTCCCCTCTTGACGTTCACGAGTTCAGCTTTTTACGTTTTGCAATAATAATAGGAGCTGCGAGCGTGGAATATAAAGGCAACGGCAGAGAAGCGAGAGCGGAGCGGCGAGATACAATGGGGCAACGTAAACCGTTTAATAACACATAAAACGTTCTTAGAGCCGATTAAGAGCGCTATACGAGTTTATGTCCGACGCTCGTAATCAAACTATCATTAGGACGACGGGCGGATTTATACTTGGAAGATATTAATACGTCGCCGGTAAAATGTGATGTATTATTTCTCGGTCTCTAAAAATAAATTGACTCGATATCCTTTCTGCGTGATAAATTACCGATACATTAATTAGTCAGCACTACTGGCCGAATCGGAGAAACGTATGTAAGTCTCGAAAAATACTGCTCCTTCGGGCCTGTCGTCGCAAAGACGTCAGCGGTGCATCCCCTCGCGACGCACAGCTCGGGAACTCGCGCAGCAGAGAAGCCGGCGGCGTCTCGCGGAAAAGTGTATCGATCGCGGAAAATTGTCCGATACTAGGTCAACCTGCGAGTATTTGCGAGGCGCCCTCGCTCTCTCCGTCTCTCGGTTTCCTCGGTCGCGTCGTTGTAACATTTACGATGCGAGCGACGGGACGGAAACGCGGTCGTAATACACGACGCGATATCCTCGCGTGATGATGATGCGGGCGGACGTCGGGGCCCGTTCGCGATTATGCGGAAAGAGCGAATTAAACGCGTCGAATCGTGCGGAGATGCGTCTCGATCGCTCGATTTTTTTCGTACGTCGCGATCACGCGTATATGTAAACGGGAGGATGTGAGACGAGAACAGCTGCGTCCGACGTTAAACACGCCGCAAATCTGGATTTTCTGGTGTCCGCGTGTATACATTGCACCACGGTGGGCAGAGAGCCCACGTAACGTGACGTAAACTCCCGCGATTAATGTAATCCCGGAAGCTCGCCCGTTGCGAGCAAACTTGAACTTAAGCGAGACAATAAGAGAGGAGAGAATCGTGGAGTGTGCGGAGCGTATCCCTGCCCGTTCGGGCAAATATAACGCGCGCTTGCGACGTCCGGCGGTTTACGATCTCGTAACTTATCCGACGTGGGGTACGACGTGAACGAAAGACCGAGGGGACACGCGCGGGTCACAAGGTCGATATTGCACACGCAACACGAGTTATCGTTACGATCGAGTCTCGTTACTGCAGCTTTTTTCTATAACATTTGTATCGTTATTACGTAGCATAAACGTGACGTATTTTATTAGTTCCAGAGAATTTTCGTAACACAATTTTCCAATTTTATTTCTTTGAAGAACGGGGTAATCTCCTTTAGTATGTAGAGCGAAAAAATAGGTATAGGGGATGCAAATTGTAGAATAATTAACTATTTGTAGACTAGCAAAATATAGAGCTATAAAAACATGTAAAGAATAACAACATAAATTAGCTTCATTGAGAATTCTGTTAATTAGGTCAGATGTATTCCCAATATTTACACAATATTCTACAAAACAATATTTTCCTCTATATACATCTAAATTTAGGGTCTAATATTTATGGATGAGGATAGTTTATTTTACTGTATTAATATGCAATGCGATATATTAACATTTACGAAACAATCTATGAATTATTCACATTACGTTTACTCGTTGTAAATATGTTTGTCTTCGAAACGTGCACACGCTGTCGCGTCTTATAATTTTTATTCGGCTGTCGGTTTTTTCTCATGAAAGCTATATTGTTTGAAGCCTAGTTATGACTTTATGACACACGCATATGTCGGGCGCCAAAGTAGATGTAGATGAGTCGCATAAATTTCGCTGCAGCGCTTAGCTTAATTCATCTTACGAGGCAACACCCTGCCGTAACTAACATGGCGGAGAACTTAATCCAAGTCGCGAATTATTAAACAGGAAATAATATCTTATTACGACGCGAAGCAAAAGCGGGCCACGGCTAAAAAGCACGCGACAACGTAAAAGATTCAATGACACGAGAAATAAATATTTCTAAAACGGAGAGAGACCGGATGGTCTTTCTTGCTTGCAAATGTTTTAAGGAACAAGAAAAAGACTCGCGGTTTTCATTAGGTTGTAAAACTGCTCATTTACGCGATATTTTTAGAAATTGTAATTACGAATATGAGGAGAGTTTAACTGCCCGAAAGGGAGATTACTTACATTCCTGCTTAAATGTGAAGTATTCCGTGAGATGACGGCACTCGTGGTTACCTCTGAGGAGAAAAAGTGTTGTGGGATGGCACAGTTTCAGCGCCCACAGGTACAATACGCACTGAAACAGAAACGAACAGAGTAGGCGTTAGCCAGGTCATCATACATATATCATACATAATATGATCGACGTAATATATCTCGAAATAAATATTTTTTTTTAAGTATACGTCTAGAACAAAGCGTTGTTAATGTCTAATGTCAGAATTGTCTTTCATAATCATACAAAGATTAAATCGTAAAATAAATTTATTGATAAACAGTTTATTAATAAGCTGAACCACATCAATGAATTTTCGATAAACGATCAGTAATGTCCAACAAGCCTATGGTAACGTTCGCTCAAACGACGAAGAATGCTTTACAAGGAGAAATGGGACAGCCGTCAAAGTCATAAACATTCAAACTAACTCGCGACTGTGCTCTGCATATCGCGATCCTCCAATTAAATCGAAACAATTCGTTAGTCTCCATCGAGCGGCTTCAATCGCTCGAAGATCCCCCCCGGTCTGATCGGCATTCCTCCGGCTTTAATTGCAGAACTTCCGTGTCGACGTGAATTTCGAGCGACCCGCTGCCGGCAGATTGCATCGCAGAATGCATTCGGACCTCGCGAGATTCTCTCCGTAATTTAACGCGCTATTAATCGGTGCATCGGTCGAAGAGAGACGAACCAAAGTCGCAACTTCTCCCCCCCCCCCCTCTCTCTCTCTCTTTTTGTCTTTTTCTCAATGTCTCTCTATGACAACGATGCCATTAATAATCCCGAACGTGAAGCGCGCTTAAAGGTGGAATATCTTGGCAACGAAAATCTTACCAACGGTTCTCTCATCTCGCAAAAATGAATCGGGTGGCGAAAGCCGTGACTTGCATTTGGCTTGCATTTCGTGTACGCGATAAAAACGTGTACTGCGCAGTTAGCACGAGGCAGCACGCGTATATTGTATACACAAGATGAAAATTATTTAGCGAACGCGATAATTGCTCGCCGAAAGGTCGTTATTGTTTTCAGGAGACAATAATAACACGAAAATAATAAATCGTACGAAACTACAAACACTGCGGGAAAAATATAAGATGTTATTAACTACGTGTTATAAAATAACAAAGATATAAAAGATATAAAAGATATAAAATATATATATATAGATATGTCAATTACAGGCTTGCCTGTCGATTATGATCGCGGAATTAAAGTTCGAATTTCAAGCTTCCCTTTGCCGGAGCGATTGCGATCGTCGGAATTCGGCTGATGTTATCGAAGCGAGGTGCGTTACGCGCGAATGCATCACTAATTAATATTATTCATTGTAATACACGGACCACTGACCCGCATTAAATTGGAAATGGCCGGTTGCTAACGAACGGACCGGATTTCGCACGAATTTTGTGTCCGCGCTAATTAGCTCGCTCGCTCGAATGTGGCGGGCGTAATGACGACTCCATTAGCTTCAACACGGTTTCGGGTGGGAAACGTGGAAAGGTGGAAAGGGGCAGGGCGCGATCCCGTCGCGACCCTTTTATGCGGCTAACATTTGTGTCCCCGTATTCGTTGTACGCGGCTGTTTAATAATCACGGGTGACGCGGCAGGTTTTAAACAGGCTTAATTGCGCACGAACAATGCGGATTAAAGCTTTTACAGACACCGCGTGTCCGTTGACAATTTTCTCGCGCCGTGGAAAATTCGATCTCGAACAATCCGCACGTCTTGATATCATCAATATGCAAAGTGCGTCGCATCAAACGCGCTTTCTTTAATCTGCGAATTTTTTTTTACCAATTTCGACCGAATTGAGAATTTTGATGGAATCAGAAAATTTTCGACGTTAGGTATTTCAGAGATATAGACTAGATATTGAATTAACGTATAACAAAATAATCTTGGAACTGTCTGCAGAATAGATTTTTATCTATCAGCAACTCGAAAATTTAATTTAAAAAAATACTACATTTTCGATCGTTTATATTGTTTGTAAGAAAAAAAAAACCAATCGTATTCCTTCATTTTTTAAAGATCGAGTCAAAAGTCAAAGAAACCGTAGTTCGAGGAAAGCACGTCTTTTGGACGAAATATATATTCTGTGCATTCGTACTTAAAGGTAAAATGTAAATTAACACAATGTTATTCATTCTGGAATCAATTTTTCTCCTTTGAAAGGTTAATTTTCGTTCAACCCATCGTGGGTTGGGATAGCCGCCGAGAAGCCCTTTTCAGTCTTTCACGATTGCAGACCGTAAAAGAGGGGAAATTTCCGAGAAAAAGTTGAAAAATATTCCACCGTGGTCTTACGTAAGGTGAAACAGATGTGATTGCGATTGAAACCGCTGGACCGGAACGTTTAACCTTTGTGCATCAAATCGATATCATGGAACTACCAACATCGCGCGCCGCGGCTCCGCTCCGGTGGAGTAGGAGGGAAAGAAATGTCACACGTTTGGTTACATAGGATATTTATCTCCCGCTCTCTCGCGTCTCACAGGATCGTGGCGACGACGGTTAGAACGTCAGCGGTGGGTATCGGCTACACCCCGGTTTTTTCGATTTTGCATGACGCCACGCTTCCGAGAGAGTGAGAGAGAGAGATAAATCCTCGCGCGCGCCCGTCTACCCGTAAAAGCTAGGGCGCCAGGCAATTTTTTTTCTTAGACTTTCGAGGTCAATTATTTTCTCCCCGCTGACCCGATCGACTGTCTACCGTCGTCCTCCCCCTCGCGTCCCCCTCCGCGGCCCTTCCTCCAGCCGTCCCTTTGCGAAGCCAACGGAGCGGCTGCTCGCTCTCGCCTTGCCCCGGCCGCTATAATTACACGCGAGGGCCCTCATTGGCATTGTAACGAAATAACGCGCTCGTCCTTCAGATTCTGCCGCGGCTCGCTCGCGATCGGACGCGCTCTCCGTGCTCTCCGCATCGGATTATCCGTTCCCTCCTTACACGGCGATTGCGCGAAACGCACACACGTGGCTTGACAATCAAGTTCGTACACGAGATTATAACTTTTTTCTTCTTCTTTAAACTCAAACTCGAGCAGTTCATTCGTCCAAATTAATAATATCTTCTTCAAGGCGGAGAATCCTTTTACGTTTATACTCCAACGATGTCCCTCCCCCCCGCTGAGAGATACTCTTGAAACTCTTCAATTAAAATACCAGTCGAGATGCCGATTGAAACTTCTTTTTTCAACTCAACAAAGATTTGTACTACTTAGAAACACGCTGCTTTATCTTCGTAAACATTTCTCAATGTTTTCATAATTTCTTGGCCATTCTTTCAAGGATCTTCTCAATAAGAATTTTGATATCGATTCCTTGCCCCTTCAATATCACTTGAGATCCTCGACGCAATAAAGGGACGCCTTTGTTAAATGAACGATTATTGAACGTCTATATATCGAATTTATACGCTATCAAAACAAGATGTACGGAATGTAATAAAAAACTGAAATTAAATACGAGGAGTATATCTACGAATTTTTAATCGAATTCAATAATTCACTCTTTTTTGTATTCGATATTCTAAGTTGCACAATTATATGCTTTCTTACAAAACGCGAGAAATTACTCGAGAGAATTTGAAGGAAGCCTCTTTGTAGCGAGGATGTGATTTTCGAGAGTACACGGAATAAGATTTTCAAACGAACAATCATGGAGGATGGAACTTGCTCTCGTGAGCGTGTCCGCGTCTTCTCTTTAAATTCGGATTCTACCTCTTTGTATCCATCTCCCGACATCTCCTGGAATGATCAGAAGCGAAAGGTTTCCGTCGAATGTCAGAGAAAAGACTTCGGATTTGCCCGTTGCAGGATGCATCGGAATCGGACGCAGAATATCGATCTCACGGAGATTTAACGTATCGCTATCACGTGTGTGTCATGTACAAACACACACACACAGAGAAATATACATGTACATACACAGTCACCACGGTATTCACATCGCGCAGCTGCGTACCTGTGCATCGCTGACATATCCTCTTAAAACGCGGAACGAATCCTTTCTCCGCGAGCGCGCGAGCCATCGAACGGAGCATCCTTGAAGGATTGAGCATCCTCCGAGCGCGAGCAGCCGCGCGACAGAAACCTCTTCCATACCGGAGCGCACGCGGCTCCGACCGATTTATAATACCATTTACCAGCGGACGCGAAGGCGGTCCATTTTCTCCGCGAGATATTCCCCGCTCTCGAATATCGTGTCGTAAAATAAGGAAAGAGAGAGAGAGAATGAGGAGTGCTACGCTCCATCTCTCGTGTCTCCCGTAGATAGATCGGCCCCCACGTAATGCACAGTCGTAAATACAATCGAATCCGCAACTGCTCGTGCGCCACAGCAAAATTATCCTCCGAGAAAAGGAGCATCGCTGGCATTGCCGAGAAATCTCGTGTTAGTTCCGCGAACGAAGAAAATAACTATACAGTCTCCAACAATCATCAGACAAACAATATTTTATTTTCGTTTCTTTTGTCGGGTATGAAGTTAATGAAGAAAGCGGGGAAAATACAATGTAGAGTAGTAATTAATAACGTTATTAATATTTATAAAAATAAGGCTTTCGAGTAGCGATTTAAACGAAAAGAACGTTCCTGTGATTGTTATTACTGACTCTATAGGTATTACTTACTGCATGTAATATTATTTTATGTTTGCGAATGTTTGTTTGCGAATATATCAGTCGATTTTAAAAGATTCCATTATGTTCGGTCCATCAGTTTGATTGGAAACAGTAATTCGCGTACAGCTTTGAACCGCCGACATTCGTTCGCGTGCGTCATAAATCTGACGGCATCCGTGCGCGCTTCACAACGACAACATGCTGCGCCTTGCATTATTCAGGGAATCTACGAAGACGCATCTTGATCTGAATAACGGCAGCCGCGGAATATATCAAGAGATTTTCTTAAAAGGAGCCATCTTGCCCGCGCGCTGCCTTGTGAAATGTACTTCGCGGAGAATATATTTAAATCTTGGGTACACGCAGCGCACCACGTGTAATACCATGTACAATATTGGATTGTCCCCTATTTCTTCCGTAAATTTTTGCACCCGGTAGAAATTGTTGTGGTAAAATAATGGTGCGCTTTCGGTACAAGTTGGAAATTATATTTCGCAAATATGTTGCCTATTTTTTTTTTTTTTAATAAATCAATGAATGAGATTACAAATAAAAGATTACACAACACAAATGTATTTTTAATTGTCATCAAGAAGACTTTTTCGCACTCTATATCTTGATTTTATTAGCCCTTATTTTCTGTAATCTATCGTTCATTGTCAGAGCCTTTCTGATTGTTTTATTAAAAATAAAAATTATTAGAACTGTGTCTTATTTTGAGTAAATTAAGAAAGACGAATAAATTCCCAAGAAACCATATAAGCTGTCTTTAAAATATACAAAAGCTATACGATCTCACACACACAATGTTGAATACTTGTCGTACCATTGACTTCCTCCAAAAATAGAAATTGTATCCTGTTCGAGATATCTACGCGTCGTCGCAGCGAAATTGCATTCTTGTGTATCTCGCGGTTTAGAGCGCGATCGCACTAAAACTTTATAGTTTCTCCCCTGCCTTTCGGAAATTCGCGAAAGGAAATTGTTCGTTACTTCCACAGCGTAAAAATTCCCCGGGATGCGAGAGAGCGTCGCGAGAGGAGCGCCACTCAAGATGCCGCTCTCGCTACACTTCGAAGTCTCCTCTCGCGCATTTTCTTGTTCCGAGTGGCGCGACGAAATATTGCATTATGCTCGACATGAAGCGTACTCGCCCGTGACGAAATTTTATCTCGCAAAATAGACTACTCGTGTCGGATCAAAGTTGATTATTCGCGCATGCTTCGAAATTACATTCAGGAGAATACTTCCGAGCGCAATACTTCCGGGTAACAAATGCATTGTACGTGCATTTGTATATACGAGTCTCCCTCTCTTGACTATTGCGTTCTCTATACTCAAAATAAGACTCTCTATTCGAAAAAATCTAAGGAGTATTTGTTCCACGGAGCTATCTAGTCGTTAAATTTAAATAAAAAGGTCTCTGACAAAAAATCAAACTTTAAAAATGAGATTCAAGTAAAGTAAGCAAAATATTGATTCCTTAAGCAATATCGTCTGTTGACATGCGTCAAAAATTATACTTTTCTAACTCTTAAAAATAATTATTAAGAATATAGATGAGTTGTTACACGAGGTAAATTTACAGCGATTAATACATCCGACACAATATATACACTCGCAATTGACCGTTTCGCCTTTGGAAATCGGAGATTTTCCGAAAAGTTTGTAAAATGTTAATTCGCGATTTTAATCTACCTGCGAATGTGCGGGATATTTGCAACAATCGAGCAGTATCAAAGCCTCCGAGTATTAACGATTTTGCACTTTCTCTTAAGCTGGATAAACGGGTGAGCGAGCCGGCGATTTAATAACTAATTAATTAGGACATACGCTAATTACAGAATCCGATGATTGAGTGCTCTCGCATAATTCCCGAGATAAAGCTTTCTCCCCGAGCGATCAGAGTAAATGTTCACTTATGTTTTATGTTATTCGTATATTCCAGTTACGCTGACATATGCAAATGCAATTAACTTTTAATTGTTCTACACTCTTAATTAGTGATGCAATATTTGCCCTAGCGATCACGATTTTCTACAACATGCTTCCTTTCACGTACTCACCTCGATACTGAAATAACCCCTGTCAACATAGTCGCCGAGGAAGAGATACTTTGTCGAGGAGGGTGGACCGCCCACCTCGAATAATTTCATCAGGTCGTAGAACTGTCCGTGAATGTCGCCGCATACTGAAACCAAAAGTAGATCCAAATTAGAGATGTAGAAAGAGGGTCCCCTTATATATATGTATAATTAGCAGAAAGTTTTCTCGGCCGCGAATTACGTAACGTCGCACGCAGTACCTCTTACCGAGCGCAAGTCAAATTATGCGAGATAAAAGCACGATTCAAAAAACGAGGCGTAATTACGCCAGCGAGCGATTAATATAGTGCGATTAAAGCGCATCTTGCGTCGAATATATAGACATTAGCGACCCTTGAGAGTCGGTAAACTTGTTTGCGAACGTTTCAAAGTGAAATTACGTTCCCGTGTCGCGAAGGATATGTACGGGACGAAGCGGCAAACGTTGAGAAACTTCAAGTTCTCGAAACTGAGAACTATTAGCGACCAGAACCCGGAGTGACGTCGGAGTTACTTTGACGCGGTATTGCCCGTCGTTCGTTTCCAATAATGTTTCACATTGTCTAAAAAAAATTATTTAAAAAAAAAATAAAAATTGATATACGTACATTTATATATCACTAGGACAATTCGCTAACACAGTCGTGCTTGTATAAGATCATAAAGCGGTAATAAAAAGATACTCGAAATAGAGAAATGCCAAACAATATTCACTCTTCTTTCTATCCTTTCCTCCTATTCGCCAAAATGCTTTTTGTCCAAAATCCACAACGTTATTTTGAAGTGTTCGTACAATTTTCAAAACTTGAGACTCTTAGCAGACAACGGACAGTACAAGAAACCAAGACGAGAGATGAAAGAATTTTTAAGATGCGTAAAAAATGTAACGGAAAGAAAGTATGACACGTTGGAAAGCGATACATTGTTATACACACGATGATAAATAAAGACCCATAAACACCCTGCGACTTGGAAACTTAGTTTTCCAGCCATCCAGCGGAAAACTATTGGAGGACTGAATACTGGTGTGAGCCGGCATAACATCATAGCTTATGACTATCAACTATTTTTATTATTCACCGCTTGCAGTACGTTACTTGCAGTACGGCGTTGCTTTCGCAACATTTTCCGATACCGTTCGTTGCAAGGGTGCACACCAATAAAATTTTTCCCGAACTATGCGCCGCGCAAGCGTGGCCGTCCGTTGTGATAATCAAATAAAAAAAGCGATCTATATTTCAGCTTTACACTTTGGCTCCCGTTCGAAAAGCGCGGAGTGCATTAATGAGGGATTGATATAATATTTGAGCATCGCTATGATGGAAACTGTGATCCACGAGTTACGTCATTATTAAATAAAATTTTGCGTGGTTCCTCTTCAAATACATACGTCAGCCAGTGCGCCGCGATCGACTCTATTTTCATGCTGTTTCACAAAATTTTTAACGCGGTGGAGAGATCAAACGCGCGCGCGTTTTGCTTCTACAGGGAAAAAGAGAGGGAGATGGAGAGAGAAGCGCGAGAGCCTCGGCGTTTACATAAAATATTATCGCGGAACAAAGGCAGACACCGACAAATAACATCGACGGCGCTTTTTGTTCAACACGCGACGATCTCGCGTTAATACCGGGTCGGCCTCAGAAACTGGGACAACGTCGCGCGCGTAAAGCAGCGAAATATGAGGCAACCTGACGGCGAAAGCGCCGGATAGATGTCTACGAAGATAATTAAATTGAGATCGTATACTAATATAACGGGACGCGGAATAATCGGCTGTAAAGCAGATGAATAAAGAGGACAGAATAGGCGAATGGGTCAGCCTGAACGGCGAACTAAGCGCGATATATCGGGCGGTGTGAGAGTCTCTGTTAATTTTACAGAACCATAATGTTCTATAAACGCCTAAGATTATCATCTTACGATTATATAATCACTCTTCCTTATATTTCGATGAAAAAATATAAAAGGCAGTAAAATCATGCTTGAGGGAATTACAAAAATCTACAAAATGTTAATTAAGAATCTGCAAATCGCTTGATCTCGTAATACATCGCCGATCTTCGCACCGCATTACGTAGATTAATGACTCCTACGGAAAATGAGATAATTCGAGCCGCTCGTCTGCGCTTTAAAAGTCGAGTGGCGAGGAATGCGTGGGAAGAAACCTACTCGAGACTCCACAAAAGAACAGGAAGAAACTGAACTTTATTCTTTAGTCCCTTCCCTTTCTCCGCGGTGCTTGCACCTCACTGTTTTTATTCTCCTTTTTATTCTTTTTTTTACTCCTAATGTTTTCTACGAAGAGCAAACAGGACGAACGCGAGTATCGTGGCACCATAAATAAATGATGCATCGCAAACAAGAAAAGGAAAGAGAATACCTCTAAGGAAATACCGTATAGAAATATTATCGATTCGGTTAAGCGTATTCTGTATAGAACCTAATAAATTTTGTAGATCCAATATAAATATATCCTGGAGAAAAGTTAAAAATTTTAGTTCTCGAGTTTCGAAAATTTACGATCTGTATCTTCGATCTGCTTATGACCGATTTTTGCATTTTTTAAAATCTTGCTTCCCGATATTCTCGAGAAGCTAATCCGGTGTCCTATTTTTCGCCGGAAAGTATCGTGGGATTCTAGCAAGTAGTAATTTCAGCAACGCGGATGACACTGGCGCACTGCCGCAAATCAAGTCTAAATATTTTAGACAATCCCCAAATGTATCGGTTTGGTTCCCTCTCTCCCTCTCTTTCTCTTCCTCTCTTTCTCTACGTTTAATTATTCGCCATGCGGATACCGTAGGGGAGAGCACGAGCAAAGCAAGAACGTAATTTCGGCTTAGCCAACAATGTGACCTGACAACGTTACGTGCAATTCTATTGACTCGGCTTTTGCCGATGCGTCACGCGCTATACGTGAACCAACTGAATTTTCGCAGAAACCGCGCTTATAGGGTGTATCCTATGCGCGCAATGTATTCGCAATCGTGATCTAATTATTTAAATTGCCTACGTCATTGGGGCAGATCGATGCGGATGCACTTGTCGATACCACGCGGAACAGAAGTCCGTGCATCGTCGCACGAAATCAGATCGGCACGAAAGTATCCGGCATTGTTACACGATACGCGGAGTCGTTTTTCACTCGTTGCCTAAAGTAAAAGTTCCAGTTTCGCAAGCATCTAGATCCTTTTACCGTAAAGTTACTAACTTTAACGGAACTACCGAGACGATATTGCCCGGATACATATACCTGCAAGTTGGTAAACTCGCATCTGGGAATGGAGATTGCTTCAAGGACGACACGCATGTTTCAATCCGCTAAATCGAGATGAGTGGAGACCATCTTCCTCTCCCTCTCCCTCTCTTGGTCGACACAAAGTGAATTAAACGGATATTCACGGCGGCGGTTCGCAGCGACAAGGATCGCCGCTAAGTAAGCACGAATTAACATTGCCGATGACATGCCGAAGAGCAATTAACGCGAGACACGAGCCAGCCTTGATCGAATGCCTCGATCCTACTACTCGCTTACGTTCCAATATTATCCCGGAAATTTCTCTTCCCCTCGGCTGAGGAATTTCCCTGATTTATAAAATAGGATAAGACGTTTCGGGATACCAGATGAAATTTGCCAATCATCTTTCGTTCGCTCACTCGAATTCCGTGTAGCAATAGAGTTTTGCAAAATTGCTACAAGATAGGAGGTATCGACAGAAGCGAGACATCGTTCGTTACAAAATTGTACATTTCACGAGAATAGAGAATGATTTTTAACCTGCCTCGAAATTCCTCAAACAAAAATATCACGTTGTTCGTTTTATTTATTCAATGTTCTCTCTCGTCCTACAATTACGCTGTTGTTCATTATTTAAAACTGACGAGACGGACGTTATCTAGGTTAACATGATTAGAACCCCGCGATGCGCGCAAACCGCTAACGATGAGCGCCGACGCGTTAGCGCTTCATCGCGTTTTTATTATAATCCGATTAAACGCGATGGTGGTCGTGGTGACTTCTGCCTGCCATTTAATAATTGGTTTCCACGTTTGCAGTTAACAATCTGCTCATCGCGGCGCTAAAGCGGATTTCGTTCGTGCGCGCTTTCTCGTTGATTATCGATGAGCGCCGGCGTTTCCGGGTTAAACAGGAGGACCGGTCGGTCATCGTGGAAGGCCGCATACGCGCTCTTAAAAGCTCTCGGTGCGTATTGCGCGCAATTTATCTCGTCCGCGCGAAATTTATGGCCCGTCGACGCTGACGAATCGGAAAGCTATTTTTTTTCGAGTAAATAATGTATCGCGGCCGCTATATCACGTATATTATACGACAAATGTCATTGTCTTACACGACTACGTTATATGTGGCTACACACATACATATATGTATACGCGTATACTTTCAACCTTGTCTTGTTACGTCCCTTGCCATATTTTTTCTGGTAGACTTCTTACTTATCACTCTTTCCCTGACAGCTACATCTTTTTTACCTGTACACGTTCCCTAGCTGCCATATACATATATATACGAAAAATATAGGTCAAATAAGTATAACTCAAACATAAGCCTCTTCGGTTCAAGTGGGTATCCACGCGCACGAGTCGTTTCACGGACAACGTCCGTCGCGGGGAAAGTAGTCAGGCTGTGCCAGCGTGTTTTAAACGAAGTAACCGACTGCAAGGCTACGACGAACGGTCTCGGCTGTGAAACGGTGCATAAAAATGCACTTACTTAGCCGCATATAAATCGATCCGCTCGCTGTTTACGCCGCTATTCCGAGGTGGTGCATAAACTCACACTCCCCCGTACACCCCTCCAAAGCCGGCGCAACCACTCCATCGCGCAACGATAGCGAGTAATGCTTTCGCGAAGGAAAACGCGGGCTGTTCAACGTTAAACGTAGAAGCGCGAGACACTTTTCTTGACGAGATGCCATCGCGCGTTACCACAGACACTAGCATTACCGACGTCACATATAGGTACCGAATTCGAGATGCCTCGCCTCGAAACCCGCGATGAACGTTAGAATTTACGGCAACACAGTAAACCAGGGAACGTCCGTACATCATGATGCTTATCCCGACGCCGCGGGATAATGCGGAGCCT